CCACCACCACCCCACCCCACCACCCCACCCCCGCTCTTGCCTCTACCTACTCCACCGGCCTTCTTTATCTGCCTGCTCCTTCAAGGCTGTGAACAGTCTGCTTTGCCCAATCCAAAGGCCCCTTTGGTGTGTCTCCATTTAGCTCATCTTTTCAAAAGCATTTGGCCATGTTGACCGCTCTGTTTCTTAAATCTCTGTCCCTAGCAGAGACTTCCCACAACACGCTTTATCCTCCTTTTCCCCCTCTAGCCAGCTACCTGCCGAGCCTCAGCCTTCCTGATTTTCTCTAAACGTTGGAATGACTCTAGGCTGTGTCCCACATCGTTCCCAGTGTCCAGCTAGACTCATCTTTCTGGGCCAGCCCTCTCAGGTACCCCTTCTTCGTGCTCATGAAAAGCAGCCTAAGACTGGCTACGGTCTAAGTTACATCCAAGTATCTCCTCTCTCTGGCACATCACAATCTCAGCTCCGATTGAGAAAGGAAAGTTCTGCTCTCCGCTGTAGGAACTTCAAGTGTAGAAGCTCTGAACAGAAGTTACCAAAAGATGGGCCTTCCGCTTGAGAGATAGGAAACCCTCACAGTCAAATGACAAGTTGAGGAGAATCAAGAGGCTGGAATTTCAGTCAAGACCCAAGAGGTAGGATCGTCAGGGAAGGAAGCTAACAGCAGCAGAAGACGCTAAGCCAGTGTTTCTCAACCTGTGGGTCACGACCCCTTTGGAGCCAAATGACCCTTTCACGGGGGTCACATATGAGATATCCAGCAGATCAGGTATTTCATTTACAGTTCGTGACAGTGGCAAGTTTACCGTTGTGAAGTAGTAACAAAAATATTTTTTATGGTTGGGGTCACCACCACATGAGGAAAGGGTCACAGCATGAGGAAGGACTGAGGACCACTGGTCTAAACCTTCCAGAGGAAGTAGGAAAAGGAATGAAAGCAGAGTGCCAGACACTGAAAACAGTTCAGCCATGTCAACGTTTCACCCAGAGCACTCCAAAATGAGCACAGCTCACTGAAGATCAAGCCTGAAAGCTGTCTTTATACCAACACAGTCCAGTTTAGCAACAACAAAAATGCCAACCACTTTTATACAAAATACGTTTGAAGCATGTAAGATGAATTAATAAAAATCAATTCACATTATCAATAACAAAAACCCAGAGTCAAATATTGGGGTGAAAAACCAAGAGATCAGAGGAGTAGGACAAGCCACAGACAACCTCACCTCACTGACACCTCAGTCTCCAAAGAGACCTACTTCCTGTCTACCCAAGCCTATATGCCTTTCTGTCCTGCCATCTCATTTCCTCTCTTTGCCCAGCTACATCACTTCCTCTTCCTGCCCAGCTGTCACTTCCTGTCTGTCTGTACAGACCTCCAGACTTTTATGGTTAGTGCTGGGATTAAAGTTATGTACCACCACGCCTGGTTCTGTTCCCAGTGTAGTCTTGAACTCACAGGGATCCAGAGTGCCTTCCAAGTGATAGGATTAAAGGCATGTGCTACCATTGCCTGACCTCTATGTTTACTGTAGTGGCTGGCTTTTCCCTCTGATCCTCAGATAAACTTTATTAGGGTGCACAATATATTGGGAACACAATACATCACCACAGAAGCATGAACAGTTTTGATCTTTTATAGGCATAATGCAAAAGCTTTTAGTGTTGCTCATGGTTATATCATTGCATATGCCTGGGCAGGTCTCACAACCTGGCTGGCCTTCATTATCTTATTTCTGAGCTATGAATAACTATGCCCTGCCTATTAGACAAGGGAGCTGATGTGGGTTTTGTTTGTTTGTTTGTTTGTTTGTTTGGTTTGGTTTTTTGAGACAGGGTTTCTCTGTGTAGTTTTGGGGCCTGTCCTGAATCTTACTCTGCAGACCAGGCTGACCTCAAATTCACAGAGATCCTCCTGCCTCTGCCTCCCAAGTGGTGGGATTAAAGGTGGGGGGGGCACGCTCTCGAGACACTATCTTTAATATTAAATTATTCACTACAATATGGCTTGTCAAGTAATAAAGTAAGAAACAACTTCTATACACTGGAAGAGACTGGAAAGGATGAGATAAAAAATGAGAAACTAAAATTGAGCTGTGAAAAAGAGAAATGGAGAAGTTAGGGAAGACTACATTTTAAAATTTGTAAACTATGATGACACCTCTAAGCTGAAAAACAAACAAAAAAAAAAACTTCTAGTTGGAGGAGAGGACATGAAGAATTTCCTGACTGGTAGCAATCGTGGTTCACTTGAAAGAACAGTATTGAACTTCAAATGAAAACAATGTTGCAGAAGATAAGCACAGGGCACATCCAAGATGTGGAGGGGGCAAGCTGTGGTGGCAAACTCACTCCAGTGCTCAGGACACTCCCTGGGTGAAGAGGGTGGTTCTAAGTAAGGAAATGCATGCAAAGAGAGTCTAGATGAAATCCCCAAAGGAGCATTATTCAAAGAAAGATTAAGGCACATAGATACAAACCAAAAAAAATACTTTAACAGTTGCTTTTTATAGGTACAAAAAATGTTTTAACAGTTTCCCTTTCGTAGATACAAAAAATATTTTAACAGTTTCCTTTTCATACATACAAAAAAATATTTTAACGGTTTCCTTTTCCGTGGTCTGCTTTGGAATTCACCCAAAGCCAACTGCAGGCCTGCCTGTGGAGATCCTGTCTCTCTTCTTACATCTCCCCACTGTCTTTCCACCCACAACCTGTGTTTGCAAAGTCTAAGAAAAAGGGAGTGAAATTCGAATCACCTTATTTCCCTGATGACTGGCCTTTTGGCTTAGGGTTCTGAGCTGGGAGACGTGGCTGAAGTGAGGTTTGTAGAATGCGGGCTTCTTGTCTGGTTGATCCTCCTGTGGGCTGTGGCATCCTTAGGTCCCCCAACTTACCGCATCAAGTCTTGTTTAGGTACAGAAGAGAAAGACTCAGCAAACATTTGAACAGTTGGACCCTGCTGTGTTCCTTCTAAACAGTCCTCAGTGGAATTCTAGCAACTTCCCAGGAAATAATGAGTACTTCATTCTGACTGATGCCTCCTGGGTGTGTGTTCACTGGGAACTGGGTCCAACTAGATTTCAAGTCTGCATCAGCAAAGACTTTATGATGCATCTGTATTATAGAATGCCAACGATAGTGTAACTAAGGGGAGATCTTGTTTATAAAAGTTTATGTGACGATATGTCTGTGTGTTTGTCTGTGTGGAAGTGTGCACACATGAGTGAAGGTGCCGGTGAAGGCCAGAGGAAGGCATTGGATCCCCTGAGGCTCCAGTTACAGGCACTTGGGGACACGTGCATGTTGATATCACAACAGCATGAAGTGCTCTTAACTGCTGAGCCATCTCTCCAGCCACAGTAAACAAAAGGCATTCTAAACTGCTCAGCAAGCTAAGCTGCTTTCAAATATTTTAACAGTAAATATCCACACACAAGAAGCCACAATGAATACAAGTGGTATTCCTCTGCTCATTAAGACGAGCTCAGCCTGGGATCTCAGGAAACATCTTCCCCCGCTATGAGTGCGGACCGTCACATACACGGGTTAGCTCTAACATGGCTTCTTTGTATTATTTTAATATTTCAAGTCATTCCCTAATCTGGCCTGCTTTTCACACACACACACACACACACACACACACACACACACACACACACAAATATGTCAGGTTCTGATTATGACTTACAAAACTATAGAACAAGGCAGAAAAGAACATTTGCATCTGATGAATATAATATATATTATATACATAGAGAGCGAGGGAGAGGGAGAGAGAGAGAATAAAAGCAAGTTTTCTGCCACCATAAAGTTCCTTCTATATCAACATGACCCACAATCTGGGGAAAGACAACACACCATCACACATCTGGAGATTCAGCAGCCTCGTGGGGCACCCAAGGAGTTTGCGGGGGAGATCCCAAGCGGTCGAGAAGAAGTATGTCATATCTCTACCTAGAGAAAGGAAGAGATGTAACACAGTCAGGAATCCCACGTTGTCACCAACCTTAGCACAGCCCAGGGGTCCCATGTTGTCACAGACTTTAGCACAGCCCAGGAGTCCCACGTTGTCACAGATTTTAGCACAGTCCAGGAGTCCTATGTTGTCACCGACTTTAGCACAGCCCTGGAGTCCCACGTTGTCACCGACTTTCACCCGTGAACCTACATTCCACTGGGCTCCCACCCGCCTCCGAAAAGCGGGCCGTTCTATTCCCAAATTCAGCTCAAGAACTTATTTCATCAAGATAAATCTTCTGAGAAAAGCCACCCAAGACAGAGAAACTTCAGACCCAGTGAGGACCAGAGCTCTTCGAAGATGAAACTCACCTGACTCGGAGAAGAACATTTGCCCTGCATGTTGTCTACTATTGGACTTGAAACAGTTTACAGTCCTTTGGTTATTGAATCACCTCCCCGGATCTGCATCCTTTCATTTTCCTTGGAATAATTACTTCATAATCCTATTGTCCGTATCCGAGGGATTCAGGTTAGGGTGTGACAAAAAAAAAAAAAAAAATCAAACTTAGTTATTCAAGCTCCGTACCCCTAGAGTGACCTTATTCCTGACCAGGGTGCTTGCTTGGTTCTGAGGCAGGAGAATTAAAAACTGCGGTGGAGGAAATTCCAGAACTTAACATAAAAGGTGGCAACAATTGGAAGCCTGGCAGCCCTCAGCCTGCCTGGGCTTCACTCAGCCAAAGGCGCATGCCCAGAAAACCCTGCTGTTAAAAGAACTTGACAGATTGGGAAACTGTGCTAAGGATCCATAAAAGGTCACTGTGGACCTGGCTTTGTCCCTTTTTTTGTCTTCTTGGACCCGGGCCATGGATGAGAGGTGGCACACCTCTAGGCTGTCCTATGTGCCCCTTCATAAACCATCCCCTTTCCCGTAACTACCCACGTGTCACTGCACCATTTGTTGTAAAGCAAGGAGCCGGGAGCTCCAGCTGGGGCCTTCTGCATCTGTTAAAGATCCGGGCCAAACATTATCTGCAAAGACAAACTGAGGCACTGCACGCAGGTCTGTGATGCAGCTAAGTGGTCGACTCTCAATGTCGTGATTTGCCGTTCATTTCCCGCATCCCTCTTCCCACACCGTTCTTGAATTATACATTCTCACTTGGATTTCCCAGCCCCTAGCACAATCTTGATTCACTGCTTGATTCATCCTCCCTCCGGGAAAATGAAGAAAAGACAGTCATTGTGTCTAGTTCTCCTTTTACACATTCAAGATGACTTAATTTCTAGGTGAAACCGAAACTGGCCGCCTCTTGATGAGTGTTAATCTTTATTTTGACCGCAGAATCAACCCAATGGGCCATCGTGTATGTAAGTGCACCTGCAAATCAGCCCGTTAAACGGACAATGCCTGAAGCTGTAGATACGCCATCCACACTGCACGCAGCTTTGTTCGTTTGTTTAGTCTGCAGCAGGGATCCAACTGCCTCTCTTCAGTCCAGAGCGGGGATGCTGAGACCTTGTACAAACAGCATGCAACTTTCCAAGCTTCGGGAACGTTCAACTGAAGCTTTGACTGGAAGGAGCCTGTGGTACGTTTGCATGAGAAGCTGTTATTTAAAACCTCTTTCACATGTGATGAACTCATGTCCACAATGTTTGGGGCTCAACATGCATGAGGACTTGGCAGGAGTCTGTGGGAGGCGTTCCCTGTCAAGGGAAACAATAGAAGAAAAAAAGACTGGATCACATGTTCTCTCTCTCTCTCTCTCTCTCTCTCTCTCTCTCTCTCTCTCTCTCTCACACACACACACACACACACACACACACACACACACACAC